TCAGTGTGTAAAACAGTCAGAGACACTGCAGCCCTGAGCTGAGGAACAGTAACCATACAGCTCTCTTCTAGAGCCACTCAATACCTCACTAATCTCTACTACAGCCACTGAGCTGAAGACACTCAGTAACCTCTCTGCTCTCGTCTACAGTCACAGATCTAATGACACTTGATAACCTTTCTGTTGACTTTCAGTCCCACTGGCTCTGCGCCTGGCTGGAGGCACTAACTGCTCTGGCCGGGTGGAGCTGCGGTACGAGGGCTCCTGGGGGACAGTCTGTGACGACTCCTGGGACCTGCAGGATGCCCAGGTGGTCTGCAGACAGCTGGGCTGTGGGGACGCAGTGAGTGCAGCAATAGAGGCCTCATTCGGACCAGGAAACGGCACCATCTGGCTGGACAAGGTGAACTGCACAGGCAGTGAACTTCACCTGTGGGACTGCTGTCACTCTGGACTGAATCAGACCGACTGTCAGCACAAGGAGGATGCAGGGGTTACCTGTACAGGTGAGGAGAGTCTTAGAACTGTAGATGAACAAAGTAGCATATTGATGGAGAAGATACACTGTTACACTTATTTTATCACTGCTTAATATCTAACTGAACCAGCTAAAATCATCAGTCAAAAGATTGGGATGTTGTGTAGCCCTGTGTATGTGAACAACACTAGTCTTTAATTCAGAACAAGACACCTTTCATCCTGCAATCCTACATTTGACCTCAAGGAACAAATGTAAAGTTTTTTTATTAAGACCACTGTGGATTCAACCTGCTGTAAAACCAAAGTCAATATATTGACAGTTCTCCTATCTCTTTTACAGGTTTGTCAAAGACAAGAGCCAGTCCAACAATAGCTACAGGTGAACAGAAATCCTCCTTGTCATTGATAACTCCTGTCTTTCTGTCTCTTCAGATTCCCAGTGTAGCTGTAGTGTCACCTCTCCTCCCTCAGTGTGAAGCTCAGTCTCTTCAGATTCTCAGTGTAGCTGTAGTGTCTCCTCTCCTCCCTCAGTGTGAAGATCAGTGTCTTTTGAGATTCCCAGTGTAGCTGTAGTGTCTCCTCTCCTCCCCTCAGGGTGAAGATCAATGTCTCTTCTGATTCTGAGTGTACTGTAGCTGTAGTGTCTCCTCTCCTCTCTCAGTGTGAAGATCAGTCTTTTCAGATTCCCAGTGTAGCTGTAGTGTCTCCTCTCCTCCTTGAGTGTGAAGATCAGTGTCTCTTCAGATTCCCATTGTAGCTGTAGTGTCTCCTCTCCTCTCTCAGGGTGAAAATCAGTAATTTCATCTTCCCAGTGTAGATCTAGTGCTAGTGTCATCTCTTTCCTCACTGATTTAGTGACAGTCCTGATGGGTAAGGTTGGGAATCCTTATATTCTTCGTTGATTTTGGGTTAACCCTGAAGCCATGATAGCCCCATATGGGAACAGGAGGAGAACAAGACATGTGTTGAAGTGTATATGAGCCCAAGAGCACCTCTCCTGATCCCTGTTCATCTATTGTCTCCCCCTCTCTCAGGCAGAACCAGGACAACACCCCAGACACAGCCACTGGGAGGTCTATCTGCCTCGCCCCTGGTCCTCCTGCTGCTGGGGGCTCTGCTCTTCGTGGTGCTGGCCCTGTTAGTGGGGCAGCTGATCCAGAACAGGAAGCTGAGGAAAGGTAGGGAGGGAAGTCACCATCCACATAGTGACCTCTAGTGGTCATTTCTGTCACTCACATGGAGTTGATATTTATATAATTACCTTTTCCTCACACAGCCCTATCTAAGGGAGCACTTGCCCACTATCATGATGCTGTCTACGAGGAAATAGAGTACAAACTGGCTAGAGAGGGAACCTACAGCGCCCCCAGGAGAGGTGAGTGGAGAGAGTCTTCAGGTGTGATTAGTCTCCACCCTCTAAGGAAAATCTGAGGACTTAACACTTGTAGAAAATCTCACCATACTGCTTTAAAACCCATGGGATTTTTTTTCTCAAATGGTGTTAAAGTAACTGAAGAAAATCAGCACTGCTCCGGTCCTGATCTGCCTTATACACACAAACTCTGAGGTACTGTTCACACCCTGGCTTCTTCCACAGCCAGTGGAAGACAATGAGTCTGCTGTCTGACTGCAGGTATTATTGATCTGTCCTCCTATTCACAGGGAGATTCCTCTCTGACGAGCTGCCCTCTGGATACGATGATGTGGAGGACAGTGAGGGAGACCCAATACCAGGTGAGGGGAGTCTGCTCTTCAGTGTTGCCTCACACTAGCCTTATCTCAGCAAATCACAGATGCTGAGCAAAACTAGATCTGGTCAATACTGGGGTGGTAAACAGGGTGCTACTTTAATTGGTTTTGATAGAAAAGGAGACTGCAGAAGAGCATGCTGTAAAAACTGCCTTTCAGATCAGATTAATCAGCGACCCTAGAGTTTTGGCTTAACTATACACCACAAAACATTTAAGATCACACTTTACAATTACTTTGCAGCTCTTTGGTCAAACTAAGTCTGAGTCCTGAAGTGTACATTCTCTGTCTCTCTGTGTGGTTCAGGAGACTCAATAGCTTCTGTGGAAGAAGAGATCCCAGAGTACTATGATGATGCAGTCACTGTACCTCAGAGTCCACACGCCTTGTCAGGTGGGTTATTTCAGTCCAGTCACATGGGGAATCTCTGCACCAATCCCACTGAGTCTGAATCTCTCTACTCTCTCTTCTATCTCAGCCTCTGAATACGGAGTCTGTACTATTCTGCACCAGTTACATGAATCTGACTCTCTCTCTGTGATCTCAGCCCTGCACACTCAGTCTGGGTCACTGCTGCCAGTGTCCAGCTCCTCTTCAGTATCTCATAGG